AAGTTGAAAATAAAAAGAAAATAAAGGCAGCCAACACATCCAAAGTTGAAAATAAAAATAAAACAAAGGCAGCCAACACATCCAAAGTTGAAAATAAAAATAAAACAAAGGCAGCCAACACATCCAAAGTTGAAAATAAAAATAAAATAAAGGCAGCCAGCACATCCAAAGTTGAAAATAAAAAGAAAATAAAGGCAACCAACACATCCAAAGTTGAAAATAAAAAAATAAAGGCAGCCAACACATCCAAAGTTGAAAATAAAAAGAAAATAAAGGCAGCCAACACATCCAAAGTTGAAAATAAAAAGAAAATAAAGGCAGCCAACACATCCAAAGTTGAAAATAAAAAAATAAAGGCAGCCAACACATCCAAAGTTGAAAATAAAAATAAAATAAAGGCAGCCAACACATCCAAAGTTGAAAATAAAAATAAAACAAAGGCAGCCAACACATCCAAAGTTGAAAATAAAAATAAAACAAAGGCAGCCAACACATCCAAAGTTGAAAATAAAAAGAAAATAAAGGCAGCCAACACATCCAAAGTTGAAAATAAAAATAAAATAAAGGCAGCCAGCACATCCAAAGTTGCAATATACAGTATTACTTGTCTTTGGGTTCAGATGAGCTTTAATGAAAAACACATACATTTATAAAAAATCTTGGAGGCACTGGAGGCACAGTAGACAACAGCATTGTCAGTCTGGGAGGGAGGGGAGCGTTAAATGAACTAGCACATTTGAATAAAATAACAAATTGAAGCCAAACTCCAGCTCACACTTTATAATCAGTTACAGCAAACAGTTTATTTTCCTTCTTGGGGTAAAGGTTTTACAGGAATACATAAAAGCTGATTATCGTACGCACCCCTGCCAGTGTTAAGTGGATTGTCTTCATCCATGTAAACAGATACATTCTGCTGGAGAGCTTGAGCTTCAGAAAAACTGCAGACTTGCTGGAACATCAGATGAAAATTGAAGAAAGAAAGCCTAAAAAAGAAAACTAATGCAGCCATCACATCTAAGAATTGGGAAGCTGCAATATAATAAATGTTTGCTTTTGGGTTTAATACTGCTTTAAGTTCATCCTCATACTTAGGGGCCAATTAATAAAAAAAATTGCTGGGTGAATGTCTCAACATTGGTGCAAACGTAAAGTGGTTGTAAAGGCTGAATGATTTTAAACCTTCATGCAATCTATGGGCAGCAGCTCTCCCTCTTACCTGAGAGCCCAGCGCCCCAGAGTCTCTCCCTCCTCATTGGCTGATACAGCAGTGGTAGCTATTGATTCCTGCTTCTATCATCACAGCCAGTGAGCCAATGAGGAGAAAGCAGGGGCAGGGCGAGCCACACTCCCTGTGTGAATGGACGCATATTGCAGTGGCTCGGGAGTGAGCCTGCTCGGGTGCCCCCATAGCAAGCTGCTTGCTATGGGGGAACTAGGCAGGAGGGAAGGGCCAGGAGTGTCAGCGACCCGAGAGGAGGAGGATCGGGACTACTCTGTGCAAAACCATTACACAGAGCAGGTAAGTATGACATATTTTTTTATTTTTAAATGAAAGAAAAGACCCCTGCCTTTTAAATCACTTTAACAATTCCCATAATATTTGTAATATGTGTGTAATAGTTTCACTGTTGCCTTTCATCTGTTGGATGTAACAGCCACTAAGATTCAATCCTCAGCCTGGGTTCACACTGATGCTGTGTGGAATTCGCACTGGTTTCTGTGCGATTTCCGCTCCGCATCACAATCAAACCCCATTCATGTGAACCCCTGCGGGTGTGTATGTATGAAATCAGTTCACAAAACGCAGTGCGATTTTCAGAATCGGATCGCATGGGTGTGAATACCCATGCGATCTGATTCTAGTGTAGACCAAAAAAAAGGGTACTGTACCTTTTTGGTGCGGATGCAGTGCGATTTGAGCCATACAAAATGTATGGCACAAATCGCTCCGCCCAGAATTCACATGTGATTAGCACAGGAATGCGGTGCAGTTAATGTACGAATCACATGCGATATGCTGCATCGCAGAAGTGTGAACCCGGGTTAAGAGAAAAAGAACTGAAAAACATTCAACCAGTTAGTAGGCTAAGAACATTTGCCTAGGGGAAACACAGTGAGGGATGCTTCTGCACTGCACTGATGTGGAGGGGAGAATGGATCTTCAAGCAATTTGTTTTATAAATCAGCCTCTTCATGTGACACTAAACAATATCTGTATGCTCCAACAATAATCCTTACACATCCACTTTTTTTAAGCCCTCTAATGTAGTTTTTATGAAATGAAAAATGTTTTGCTGCCTCCTTGTAACATCCTCCATGAGCTCCTGAGTCTCTCCTTTTTCCCCTCATGTTTGCTTGAACCGAGCAGTGCACAGTAGTTGCATCATATACACTACTCTATGCACACTACAAATCCCATAGTCCATATCGGAAATGGGCAAGAGAGGGTGGCTACATTCCTACACAGTGGGACCATGGAGAATAAGAGTAGCCACCCTCTAACAGGAAGGCAGATCACACAGCAAAAAAAAAAAAAGGCGTATATATTGCAATATAATGTTTTTTTTTTTTTGTTTTTTTTTTTAAAGCAGAGTTTAGTGTTACTTTAGCCATAGGTGTTCATTTCTAAAATTCCTTCACACAAGATTCACACAACTTTCACCTACGATTCACACATTTTTCTAATTGGATTCAATTAGAAAAATGTGTAAACCCTGGGAAAAGTTGTGTGATTTGTATGTGCAAACATTTATAAATAGATCCATTAAAGTGAATCTAACTCAAAGATAAAAAAAAATGTAATCTACTTTAGCTCACCTGTCCTTAACCCCTTGGCGCCTCCCGTCCCTTTAAGGGTTCCAGAAGTCGGGAGGCAGGGCGGGGTTTTAGGGTCATATGACCGCCGTGATTCGCTGTCACGGCAGTCAGTTGATCGGCAAAAAAGGTCCCGATCGAAAGAGGAGATTGGGACCTTTCCGTGAGTACCGAACATGTGTGCTGGGAGCATGCAGGGCGTGCGCTCTCAGCACATGTGTTTTTTTTAATAGAACGCAAATGTGCGGTTCCTTGGCATCTAGGCCCAGACCCTGGGAGGCTGCACATTTGCGTTTGGCTGGCGCCAAGAGGTTACATGTGGTGATTGCATTAGTTTTCTTTTTTTCAGGTTCTTCCTTTTATTTCACCTGGTGATCCTGCCAGTAATATTTTCTGCAAGCACAGAAAAAATTCTTCCCGATCCTGCTAGAAATTCAGTGTCCTTCAGTGCTAGAAAGTTCCTACTACAAACACAAATTCAGTGTCCTGAAATCCAAAAAAACATTTTCTGCCTTTCCAGCTATCTTCTATGAACCATGGAACATCTCCCTTTTATGTAAAAGAGATGAGGAGATGTGGGAGGTGTTTGTAGTCCAAATCAGAAGAGCAGTCTAGGGTGACAATGCTGCTCTTCCATAGAGTGAATGTTGTCACCCTAAGACGAGTGAGTGGTAGTGGCAGGATCACCAAGTGAAAATAAAGAAGAAAAACGCTGAAAAAAGAAAAGAAATGCAGCCAAACACATCTAAGAAATAGAAAGTTGAAATATACAGTATTACTTTTGTCTTTGGGTTCAGATGAGCTTTAATGCAAAACACATACATTCAGAGGTGTATTTATAAACAATTGGCACTATTTGTCCTGTGAAGCTGCATGTATATTCATTTTGTGGGCAAAATTGACTAGTACTAGGTATTTTCTATCCTGATCGAATGTTATTCATTCATACAGGATAGAGTGGGGGGACATTTATCAATACTGTCGCAAGGCAAAGCAATGCTAATCAAGAGCAGCGAGACAGATTTATTACAAAGTTATAGAAGTTATGACTTCCTCCTTTGGCTACTCTAAAGTCTGCCCTTGCGAATTAATGAAACCTGACCCTGGTCACTTTTTAATTATATATCTGTTTAGAATGGAAATCCAACTTTGAACTTTGCAAACTGATGCACTTGGCTGCCCAGGAAAACAGACACACAGGTCTGTACACCTATCACGGAAACTGCTGAAGGAGACGGAGCCTGATTTGTGACTAATCATGTAACTGATTTGCTTGATAAATGTCACCCACAGAACCAGGAAAATACCACATTATGGCTACTAGATGGTGCTGATGATCATAGGGAATAAATACTTAAAGCAGTTACTTAAAATCAGCAGCTAAAAAAGATAAAACTGATAGCTGCTGACTTTTTAAAAACAGCCACTCACCTGTTGACATGGTCCAACGGTGTGTTCACCCCAGCCAGGTTCACCTGCCATCTTCTGTCCCCAAAGCTGGCATCTTAACTGTGGGCACCCAGCTGTGACCGCTTGCAATTATCCAGAGGTAGCAGCCCAAGCCCCCAAAAAATGGCTCTCCTTTTTAAGCTTAGCAGAAATTCTTCCAACTCGCTCCTATCATCACCTACTCTCTGACCAACGACTGATTGAGTCAGTCCAGAGCAGGGGCAGACTGACCATTTGGAAACTCGGGCACTGCCCGAGGGCCCGGGGTCAGTAGGAGCCCCATGAGATTCCCCTGGTACCTTTTTCATAGGCTTTTTTGAGTTTGGGCAAGGATACAGGGGCCCTAGGATCCCCTATTGCCCGGGGGCCCCATGAGTTGTCAGTCCGCCCCTGGTCCAGAGTGATCTCCAACCCCAAAGAGCTAGTATTCTGTGCTGGGGAATTGACTCTCCTGGAGCAGTCAAATCTTCTAACAAGTTCACTGGCAAATTACAAGTCCATAAAAAAAGTTTATGGAAATGAAGCATGCTGGAAGTAATCCTTTAAAATACTTAATTTTTCTATGATTTTACCTGATGATTGGGTCTGTTTTAGTAAATTTTCCCTAGAAAACTACAGGTTCACTTTAAGATATGCCCATCACCGGGGATGACATAACGTTTTCATGTCTTGTAGTTGTCATGGAGCGGAGTTCCATCCCGTGAAACCAGCTCTCCATTTCCCAGTTCATGTCTCTAACTCAGACCAACCCTTGGGAAGGTGTTTGAACTGAAGCCAGAAGGAGGAAGATTCTTTTTCTTTGGAGCCTCCATAGTGTGGGAAAGTCTCAGCTTCGTCTTTGAATTGTAGTTTTGCTTTACACCAAAAGGTTGTTGAGCTTTTCCCAGTAGAAACAGTTCCCACTTGGGAAGTTCTTCTTCCACAGATGCCCAGTACTGGTTCTGTAACACAACAAGTGAGCAATGTTTAACATTGGGAAGGCTATTCTGCTTACAAGCTTCTTCTGGAGAGAGTAGCAGTCTAATTTAGTGCGGCTTCACATTAAGCCACTGCTCTTTTGCCGCAACGCAGTGTACCCGCAGTTTTCTGCTGGTTAATTGTGCTTTGCCATAGATTTTCATTATGTCCTGTGGTTTTGGTGTGTTTTCTGAAAGCATGCAGGACTTTTAGTGTGCTTTCAGAACGCACACCAAAACTGCAAGATATAATAGAAGTCTACGCAAAGCGCTGCTAACCCGCACAAAACTGTGGGTACACTGCGCTGCGGCGCAAAGTGCCGCAGGGCAGTGTGAAGCCGCCATTAAAGAGCAACTTAAGTCCCAGTTCACACTGATGCTGTGCAGGATTGGCTGATTCCAGTGCGGCAAAAAAGAGGTGCATGCACCTTTTTTGTGCGGGTGCGGTGCGATTTGATCCATACAAAATGAATGGGCTGAAATCACACTGCAAAGATTCTCATGTGATTAGAACAGGAACGCAGCACAATTCGTTTCTGAATCAAATGCAGTGCCCTGCACAGCATCAGTGTGAAGGGGGACTTACTCCCCTCCCCCATTTTGCCCCACTTAACTTTTTCATGAAGTTATCCACAAAAAGCATACTTAAAAACCAGCACCCAGTTTCACGCCAATAGATTCTTCTCTGATATTATCAGCTGTGTCTTCCAGGTTCTTAAAACTATACCTCCGATGATGAGCATGCGCCATGGCATGCCATCAGGGAGCTGGCTGCAGGAACCAGGCAGAGATAGCCGCCCACCAATGACACCTGACAGTGCATGTGCATACCCCGAGTACCCCAAGGCCTCCTGGGATGTGGAACACGAGTATCCCTGGAGTCTGTGGGCTATTGTGAATTTCATTTTTTTGCCAAGAATCCAGGAAGTGCAGGGAGTGTTCTCCCCAGAAAAAGAATGAAAGATAAAAGAAAGTCTGATTCTGATAGAGGAGGGGGTTAAGTGGTGAGATTAAAGAAAGTAGGTTGGGAGAGTGAAGGTCCACTTTAAAGAGACTCATGAAGAACAAAAAGGGGTCCTGCAGCCTCAAAGGACAATCAGGAGAGAATGAAAACTCCTCCTACAAGCTTTAATCAGTGCTCTGCTGGACACTGATAGAAGTCTGCTCTAACTGCTAATGAGAAAAGGTATTTAGCAGTTTATATTTACTAAAATAATTGCATGTCCATGTTCTGTGTACTGTGGGAGACCAGATATAGTGAATGCAGGGTCCTGGGTTTAGTGACACAGTCTACAACCATTATTGTAGCTTTATGGTAGGGAAGGGTTCAAATCCATCAGTTTTTTTTTATGCTTTCTGGTGTCCTTTTATGAAACAGATCAGCGGCGACACTGAGAATCATTGTTGATCTCAGATCATTAGTGGTTTAGGAAACAGAGATGATTAGCGGAGAACATGTTCTCTGCTGATCATCTCACCACACAGACGGCCAGTGTATGAAGGAGCGATGTCAGCCCTTCACTGGTGATCTGTATGAAAATTCTCCCTCCAGATTCTCCAGCCCAGAGGTGGAGAATCGGGGGAACCACAAACAAAGCAGAGGTAATTTACAGCTGCTTAGTAAACTGTGTGTTTGATTGATCTCTTACTGTAATCTCACGAGATTATAGTAAGATCAGCCGTTTTCTAGCGTTCAAAGCGTTTGTAGATCGCTTCTCCCTTCATTCGGAGAAGTGATCTGCACCCCTTCATAAAAAAGCATTCAGAGGAGAACTGTTTCCTCTGAGAATGCCGGAGAACTGAGCAGCGGTCATTTATCGCTGCATGATAAAAGGACACCAGAGTGTCCTGTGTCAGAGATATCCTTTCCTGTCCCAGAGGCACAAGAAGAAGTTTGAGGAAATCTCCCAAAGTGAGGGAAATTCCACTCTTCGACAGTGCCCCCATTGGAAGACCTGCTCTTCCCTCTTGTTCTGGGGACAACTTTAAAATTTTGGATTTCTCCTCACTTTCTTGATGACAATGGCTTCTATTACAAATAGATGGGTGAATCCCCCAATCAGGACACAGCAGACCGCAAAAACACTTGAGAGACCCTTCTCAAATCTATCCAAAACGTAAAGGATACGTCAACCCAACTTTTCATATACCTGATATGTGCTTGCTGTACCATGTACTTGTATGAAAAAGTATATTGTTCTCTTTGTGTTGCATCTTTTGTGTGAAATCCCTGGTGTTCCTGCCAGTCCCACTACTTCACTACTAAAAACTGACCACACTAGGCATGAGAGCACAGAGTGGTCAGTTTTCTAGCTGTGTGCTGGGAACTCAGTCTGCTCTCCTCCAATGATCAGATTTGACATGCACCCCCACTGCACAGCCAATTACTGGGAAGTTCAGTTTGCTGCTGTTCTTCCTCCTCTATAAACTCCTTATGCAAGAACAGAGGGAATGTGATCACTTAAAAAAAAAACAGAAAAAAGGTATTTATAATTATTTTATATCTATACACAAATGTTTTGTCTTTTATTTCTATTTTAAACTGCATGGGTTGTTTTACAAGGTGAGGGTTCACATACTGTATACTTATATTCAGTCAAGGCACCCTTTAAAATTATGGAGAGTCTTGAGGCACCCCATTCTAAAATGTGAAAAACTATTCTAATAGTTGTATATAACGCAGCAACATCCACACATGTAGGACACCCAACATTAGAGGTGATTTATTCTTCCAAAGCAAATACACTTCTGCACACTGGTACTGACTAGTATTCCAATGTTTCTTTTCTGCCTCTGTTTTACTCCATCACTGAGCTAATGTGACCCCAGCACTGATGGAGAGGGGGCAGGGGAGGGTCACACTAGGATGCTGTGCAGGCAGCTGACATCCTCCTTATCAACTGATGACGTAATTGGTTGTCAGGACACTGGTGGCTACAAAGTCGTAATGGTGCACAATGAAAACCTGTGGCTTGTGTAACTAAAAGGCAGGCTTGTTCCACCCACTGGCTTGTATACAAGTTTTGGGCAATTTTTGGACATTTTGCCAAGGCACCCCTGAAGAAACCCCAAGGCACCCTCGTTGAGAAAGGCTGCTGTTGCCAATCAGCTTCTAACTTCAACTTGTCCAATTAAGCTTTGAAAAAAACAAAACAAAACTGGAAGCTGGTTAGTTTCTATGCAGAGCTGCACCAGATTTTGCACTATGCAGTTTTAGTAAATCAACCCCAGAGAGTAACTATTAACAGAGGTTCTAACCCTTCCCCATTTTACTGTTTTGTGTCATTTTTGTCCCAGCTGGCTATATTTTCCATGCTTTCCTGACCCAAATTAAAAAGTTGTGCAAGTAGTGAAAGTGTCTCCCCAATTTTCGCTCTGGACACACGGAGGAAGTATTTTGGGGTTAATATAGGTAATAGCAGGCCACCTGTCAATCTTGTTCTTGGATTTAAAGAGACACGGTCACTTTGCCCTGCATGCCCCAATCCCATTATACTCACTTTGCCTGCATTGTGTCACTGTTCCTTCCTCTGTGCCAGCTAGCATTAGAATTAGTGGTGTCACAGACGTGGGGAAGAGGTAACATCACTCCCTCGGTCAATGTGATAGTTTTCTGTCCTAGCAATTGGCTGCAAAAGAAGAAGACCACATGTACCCCGTATTTGAAAGAGTAGCTAGTGCTGCTGACTGCGAGGGAAGAGGAAGTTCAGTCAATGTGAGAAAAAACGGGCCAAGAAGGGCCCTTTGCTGAGTCCTTTCGCAATGGGCAAGGTGACAGTGTCTCTTTAAAAATAGTGACATGTTTGCTTTAGATAATGTATGCTGCTGTTTACCAACCTCTAGCTTAGCAAGTGAGGGATCGGGATCAACCCGTACTCTTAGTTTTAGATTTTTCACTGATGTTTGAAAATCCTGAAATATTAAGAGGAAATAATGTAGTTAAATTAGAAAGTACATTATCTGTAAGCAGTTTCTTAAAATATTAATCCCAGCAGTTTACAACTTCCCATGCTGCCGGCTCTCTCAGTGCTGCTTCCCTGAAGTTCCAGTCTTAACAGAAAAGAGTTAACAGTGGACAGTGCAGTATGAATCCAGTCTAATAACTTGGAGAGATTAGGGGAGGAGCAGGGGACTGCCTTGTCATCCTAGGCTACAGGGCTGTGTGTTTCTACTGATGCACACAGTATGGGGAGACAAAACTCTTGTCCATCCATGATCCACAGCCCTGCTCTCAATGTGAGGATGCAGAGGGACAAACCACTGCTGGATCATGAGGGAGCGCCGTCTGCTGGGGGAGCGGAGGATTGGGTAAGTAAAACTGCTTCTTCTCCCCCCTAGACAAAAAGAGCAAACAGCCCTTGCCGTGTGGGCACAGCCCTACTGCAACAGATCATTTTTATTTGCTTGGAGCTTGGCTTTAATGACTGGTAAGCTGCATCATATTTTTTTTGTTTTGGGGTTAGATGCGCTTTCATGAAAAACTTCAGCCAAACAGCAAAAATACATAATTGAAATACATATTTAAAATACATATGCATTTACTGTTTTATACACATTTTCCATTTGACACCGCAGCTTAATACCCTCAACCTTTTGGCAATACATTAAAGTGTATCTAAACCCACAAAACAACCATTCAATATATTGCATTAGTTTTCTTTTTCAAGATTTTCCCCTTTGTTTTCACCTGCTACTCTTGTCATTACCATACTTCCTGTCCTAGGGTGACAACACTCACCAACTGTACTGTAGATATAGAGGAGCAATGTTGTCACCCTAGGCTGCTCTCCTGATTTTTACTACAAACAGCTCCACATCTCCATTTTATAAGGGGGGGGGCTCTGTAGTTCAGAGATGATAGCTAGGAACGATGATAACATATTCTGAAATATCAATTCAGATATCAATTGTTTAAAAAAGAAACAAGTAGCACCAACAATAGAAATGAGTAGTACCATGCCCGCAGTGGAATAAAAAGGCATGGATAAACCACATTTCTGGGCACAAGATTTCTGGCAGGATCAACAGGTATTTTGCTGTACTTGCAGAAATGATCTTTAGCTTAACAAATAAAAGGGAGCCACCATTTTAGGAATGGTCCACAGCAATACATTCCAGTTTTTGTTCTTGAGTGTAAATATCCTTTATTTATTTAGTTGAGTTTACACTCTATGTTTACTTATGCAAATATAACAATAGTGCAGATATGATTTTAAGGGGTCTTCTCTCTTAAGCTGACCATACATGGATCGAAATTTGGCTGGTTCCGCAGGGACCTGCAGAATTTAGATCCATGTATGGGCAGGCTGACTGTACCAAAGAGTCGATCTATCGACTACAACCAATCTGCCAGATATTTCTGCATGTTATAGCCGCTAGCAGTAATCATTGCATTCTGCCGGACGGGAAGGCTGCCTGCGTCCCCCCCACCAGCAGAGCACAATAGCACTGCAGGAGGGATGTGAGCGATTTTATTTCCTTCCACCCGTAATGGAAGGAAAGAAAATCACATAAACAATGGACTGGCTTAGGTGTTTATCATCCAAAAAATATACTTGACAGTGAGCTTAAATAATGTCAGTATAGCATTGTATTTAAATCCTAACCTTCATCTGGTATACTTACCTTTTCTAGATGACTTCAGGAGTCCTCCATGGATCTTCTGCAGTGGTGAGCAGTCCTCATTGATGCAGGGGGCAGTGCTGATGTGATGATATCATTGCTGTTCTCTGCAGGGTTGCCATCAGAAATCATGGGGCCCCATCTGGCCTCCCTGGGAGCTACGGTCCGTGCGATTATTGTGCATGCACCCAAAGGTATTTAATGGGTCCCCTCTCTGCCATCAATCCCCCTGCTGAACTGATGGGACTGGGGCCCACTACAGGAGCGCTGGCTCTACCCTCCTATCAGCGGCCCTGGCTCTCTGCATCTTTACACTGTGAAAGCAGAGCGCTGTGGTGACACCAAGCATCATTCAACCCTAAAAACTGAGAGCATCTTGTGGTGGAAAAGAAGAACTGTGGGGGACAGCTCCCAAATAATGGTAAGTATTGCAGAAATTTTTTTTTGTTTCTTATAATCAGCAGTGAGACAATTAATACATAAATATGGAATTGTGCACATTTCAGGCATGCCCTTAATAAGAGGCAAGTGAGAATCTTCCTTTCGGTAGCATCCCTCAAGAGACAGCAGACTAAATCTTCATATTCAACATCAATACACCCTTTAGAAGAGCTCACTTGTAATAAATTGTAAACTGGGAAACCAACATAGCTTGAATTCGCCATTAAAAGTAGGGTATGTGCAAGTCTTATTGGTTTTTCTTCCAACTCTCCATGCTGAGAGTCAGCAAGGGGTGAGCCTACAGGTTTTGGTACACATGAAGAACCTTTGTTGGGTAGAACTTACTTTCAGAAGCTTCTGATTTCTGTTATGTGCTGTCTCTGAAGCTTGGCTATCCTTTCCAATCCCCTCACTATGAATCTTCATCTCTTCAATCAGTTTATTCTTTTCATCAAGTCTAAGGGAAAGAAGAGTAGAAGAAAAAGATGTACAAAGATGTATCTATAGTCTACATTATATTTCATTTAGCACACTTAAAAAATGCTCCTCTACTCCTCTAGGACCCCAAGAATATAGATATCTTCAACCTGAGGTGACCTTACAGTCCCCAGTGAGCAGCTAGGACTATCGCACAGGTAGACTAGCTCACTTTGGGCCCTCAGGACCTGATGGCAAGCAGATAGCCTGCAATAAAGAAAAGCTCTTTACCAAGAATGTTCTTTAAAGGCAATGAAGAGTCCTTTGCACGTGTTATGAGGCCCAGTTGGAACACAGTGAAAAGAAGTGTGAACTGTAACTCTCTGTGGAACAGTGTAATAAAGAGAGGGAAGAATAACACTTCCTCTGCAAGCAGCAATTTTACAGATGTAATGTTCCTTTAAGGCACTAGTCACTAGCGAATCTAAAGCACAAGTGGCCAGTCTGGTAAAAGTGGTTGTTGGCACAGGGCAACTCTTCTTTGGGCTACAGGACTTTGGCACAATAGGGAAAAGGCCTCCTTAGCAGGGTGAATTGATGATGATGGTGACACGGAGGTGGTTCGGCCTGTGGACCGACTGTCCTGTTATCAGTTCTGATGATAAGGCTGTGCTTAGTGTAGACAATAGCGGCTGAAGGAACTAGGCTGCAACTTCTAACACCTATATGCAATGTCCACAACTGTGTGCAGGAAAGTAGCAAAGGTGGAGCAGGTGTCAGTGTTCCCTGTTCTTGACAACAATTGGGACTCTCTCATACGAGGGATGGCGTCTGGCAAATTCTGGCAGTCTTTCTCTCTCCTTCGATAAGGCCTCCACACATTCTCTGGTCCCGCGTGCAGCGTTCCGTCCTGTCACCGGCTAGAAGATTATCCTTCTCCAAATTGCGGCAAGGTCAGCGAACAGAAGACTCTCCCTCCCTCTCTTTCTCCATTTCCATGGCCTGGTCTGGTCCTTCCGCAGTCAGTGCACTCCTCTCTCCAGATCTCTCCCCTCTCACTTCATGTCTCATCTCCTGGGCTTTCATATATATATATATACACACCTCTGCCCACACGCTAGCTCCTCTGGGAAATGTAGTTCTTTGTTATACTGTTCCTTAGAAAAGGTCTGTGGTGCAGCATAGAAGTTCCACTCTACAGAGTGTGAATGCCACTGTTCTACAGGACACTGACATCTTGTGTTTGTTTTAACATTCTTGCTCCACTTGGTGTTACACATGCATTTGAGATGCTTCCAACCTGCATTTGACCTGGGGTAGACCACCTTCCAACCTGCATTTGACTTGGGGTGGACCACCTTCCAACCTGTATCTGACTTGAGGCTGACCACTTTCCAACCTTCTAATGACCTGATGCTGACCAACTTACAATTTGCATTTGACCTGGGGTGGACCACCTTCCAACATGCATCTACCCTGTGGTAGACCACCTTCCAAACTGAATTTGATCTGATGCTGACCAACTTCCAACCGGCATTTGACCTGAGGTTGACTACCTTTCAACCTGCATTTGACCTGGGGTAGATTAGCTTCCAACCCAGGGGCGGACTGACCATTTGGGAACTCGGGCACTGCCCGGGGTCAGTAGGGGGCCCCATGAGATGCCCCTGGTACCTTTCATAGGTTTTTTTGGGTGTGGTTTGAGTGTGGGCAAGGACACAGGGGCCCCATGATCCCCTATTGCCCGGGGGCCCCATGAGTTGTCAGTGCACCCCTGTTCCAACCTGCATTTGACCTGTGGTAGACCACCTTCCAACCTGTATTTGATCAGAGGTTGACCACCTTCCAACCTGCATTTGATCTGAGGTTGACCACCTACTAACCTGCATTTGACCTGAGGCAGACCATCTTTCACCCTGCATCTGACCTGAGGTTGACCACCTTCCAACCTGCATATGACCTGGGTTAGGACACCTTCCAACCTGCATTTGACCTGGGGTAGACCACCTTCCAGCCGGCATTTACCCTGGGGTAGACCACCTTCCAACCTGTATTTGATCTGAGGTTGACCAACTTCCAACCTGTATTTACCTGAAGTTGACCACCTTCCAACCTGCATTTGACCTGAGGTTGACCACCTTTCAACCCGCATTTGGACACTGCCATCTTGTGTTTGTTTTTTTAACATCCTTGCTCCACTTTTGGCAGGGTGTTACACATGCATTTGAGATGCTTCCAATCTGTATTTGACTTGGGGTTGACCACCTTTCAACATGCATCTGACCTGAGATTGACCTCCTTTTAACCTGCATTTGACCTGGGGTAGACCATCTTCCAACCTGCATTTGACCTGGGGTAGACCGCCTTCTAGCCTGCATTTACCCAAGGGTAGACCACATTCCAACCTGCATTCGATCTGAAGTTGACAACCTTCCAACCTGCTTTTTCCCTGAATTTGAACACCTAACCTGCATATGACCTGAGGTTGACCACCTTCAAACCTGCATTTGACTTGTGCTAAACTAGCTTCCAACCTGCATTTGACCTTTGGTAGACAACCTTCCAACCTGCATTTGACCTGAAGTTGACCACCTTCCAACCTACATTTGACCTGAGGTTGACCACCTTCCAACCTGCATTTGACCTGAGGTTGACTACCTTCTAACCTGTATTTGACCTGGGGTAGACCATCTTCCACCCTGCATCTGACCTGAAGTTGACCACCTTCCAACCTGCATCTGTCCCTGAGGATGACCACCTTCCAACCTGCATCTGTCCTGAGGATGACCACCTTCCAACCTGCATCTGTCCTGAGGTTGACCACCTTCTAACCTGCATATGATCTGAGGTTGACCACCTTCCAGTCTGCATTTGACCTGGAGTAGACCACCTTCCAACCTGCATTAGAGCTGTGGTAGACCACCTTCCAACCTGCACTTGATCTGAGGTTGATCATCTTCTAACCTTCATATGACCTGGAATTGACCACCTTCTAACTTGCATATGACTTGGACTGGACTACCTTCTAATCTGCATTTTACCTCCTTCTAAGCTGCTTCAACCTGCTTCTAGTTGCTTTTGCATTGCCATCAATGCTTTGTTTGCGGAAATAAGCAGGTTCTGATGTAAATAAAAGCCTATTAACTTAGGCCACTGAGATTACAGTTAGATTTTCAGAGGTGCTTTGGGACTCAACCTTTTCGCTGCTGTTGAGGTAAGTATAGCATCATCAGCAGTGCTGGCTGTAAACAGACTTCTGGCTGCTAAACCAGCAGGGAGTTTATTTAGATTTGTTTGGTTTCACATGCACTTTAAGCTGGTCATACATGGATCAAAGTTCAGCCGGTACCGAACAAATTTCAACCCATGTTTGACCACTGTGGTCAAACAGAAGTTGATCTACCAACTGGCAATAGGCTGCAGCACTGATCTGTGTATTTTGATAGCGGGGAAGTCTCCAGTCAAAATGCAAAGACACATCGGAGAGCATTTCTCGCTGAAGGGACTTGGAGGTAAGTACTGGATACGTACTGGAATAAATTATTTTGTTTGGATCAAAGTTTAGTGTCATTTTAACAGATTGAGTTCTTGTTTTAGATTACTATGTGACACTTTGCCGGAGATTACACTGTATATATGTGCTACAGAGACATGCAAAGTCACACACATCTGATGCAGTCACGGCATATGTTTGCAGCATTGATACTGACACATGTTCAGCACACAAGGCTGACAATGAACCTGAAAGAGTAATAAACCTACATGACTTGGTGGAGTCTTTCCAATTCCTCTTCTCGGGCTGTATACAAAGTCATCCTTTTGCCGCAGGTTTCTGGAAAGAAAAAAACACATTTTCTAATTTCTATTACTGTGTGTTCCCACATTGGCCACAAGAATTATTGTATTACTTTAAAGACAATGTATAATAAGTTCAATAAATACAGGAAGAGAGAGCAGAGGGTGACCTCATCAGTTTAGGGCTGTCTTAGCATGTTCCAATCAGCTGGCTGGGGGTGGGTACTAATATGAATTATATTGCTCAAAACTGAATTCCAGGTATTAATGCTTTTGCAAATGTAATACCTGTGGGATCCTGGTGGAAGTGGAGAATCCCTGATTTAATCAATCAATAAACTCCTTCCCTTCCACTCCCACCAAAAAGTCACACTTTCTCCCTAGAAAGTATACAATCCAACAAATAAAAACATATAAATCCCCCATAAAACCCAAAATAAAATCTACAAATATAATCAATTTATACAATCAAAATAAATGTTAATCACTTAAACTTAAAAATTGTGTTCAATTAAATTCACTCCCAGTTATGTCTCAAAATCACAAAATAAAATTCCATAAAATAAAACAAAAAAAAATCCCAATGTGTCCAAAATCCAAATTCCAAATTTTTCACTTCAATCCAGTTAGAAGGAAATTGATCCTAAATATTCCATGAAAACCTCAAAAAAAAAAAAAAAAAAATGGTCGCCGCGGCCATTTTGTTGGTTGTATACATGTGGTTTCAACCAAAAGTTTGTTCAGTCAGTACAGAGCCATTGAGAGAGCAATGTTGGAAGCTGGATTTTCCTGTTTTTAATGTAAGTTACGATTAAATTTGTTTCTATAATGTGGATTCTGCCTAAGAGCCTTTTGTTTCTTTAAGAGGAGTTTGGAGGAATACCCCTGAAATGAAGGATTGAAAGATATGGATTCCCTATGTTAGCTCATGCTTGAGAATAACTTCAAGAGGGTAATAGTACCTGGTATCACTTTTGGCTGGATTATAGAGGGTACTAGTACCTAGTATCACTATTCACAAGAGGTTGGAGTGATCACGAGTTTTTCACGTTTTGGTTTTATTTATTTATTTATTGATTTATGGGAGTGGGAGAATAAGTATACATTTATATTACTTGCACAAGTTTTTTTTTTTTTTTAAGAGTGATTTTGTGTTTTGCACAGAAATGAAGTACATATATTTAAAAAGATAAATACACTATGAATTTTCTTTTTCCTTTTTTTTGAGGTTTTCATGGAATATTTAGGATCAATTTCCTTCTAACTGGATTGAAGTGAAAAATTTGGAATTTGGATTTTGGACACATTGGGATTTTATTTTGTTTTATTTTATGGAATTTTATTTTGTGATTTTGAGACATAACTGGGAGTGAATTTAAATGAACACAATTTTTAAGTTTAAGTGATTAACATTTATTTTGATTGTATAAATTGATTATATTTGTAGATTTTATTTTGGGTTTTATGGGGGATTTATATGTTTTATCACGAAAAGGATTTGTTGAATCCCTGATTTAGTCACTGCTAATACAATGATAGCCACTGTCTTCCAGGTCCTGTGTTGAGTGGCGGCCCTGCTACATACTGAACACAGGAGGTCGCTCGCTCAGCATGTCATCAGTCCAGAACACCTTGCATTTTTTTTCTCAATGAATGCAAAGCATTCTCTGGGCCCCCCCCCCCCCCCCCCCCCCCCCCCCCCCCCCCCCCCCCCCCCCCCCCCCCCCCCCCACCCCCCCCCCCCCCCCCCCCCCCGGGGGGGGGGGGGGGGGGGGGGCCCCCCCCCCCCCCCCCCTGATTGGACTAGGTGGAAATGGTGACACTAATAGAGAGCATATTAAAAGAAAAGGGGCTGTCAAGGATGACAACCAGGTATATATCTAATGCTGTAAAATTCACATCTTTTATTACATAATCATTAAAAGCATACAACAAAATCATATAAAAGAGTACAATAAAAAAATCAATAGATGCTCAATCCTTGGATAGCTACGCGTTTTGCGGATTGTTTACTTCTGCAGGACTAAATCAAAGAGTATGTACATGTTTTATGTAGAAATATAATCAAAAAAGAAGTTCCTTTAGAGTCACACAGTATTACAAATACATGCACCACATCATCTGCATCAAAGAAAAAAACAAAACAATAATAATAGTCATTAAATTGCTGTCCATGGGGGAGGAAAAAGGGAGAAAAAAACCCCACCAACAGTACATATGACATATTATTATTACAGGTACTCTTAACGCGCCATCAAATTACGCAGTGCTTTACACAAATATTGTACGTTCATATCAGTCCCTGCGCTCAAGGAGCTTACAATCTAAGGACCCTAACTCACATTCAAACATACACTAGGGCCAATTTAGATAGGAGCCAATAAACCTACCAGCATGTCTTTGGAGTGTGGGAGAAAACCGGAGTACTAAGGAGGAACCCATGCAGGCTTAGGGAAAACATGATAACTCCAGTCAGGTAGTGCCATGGTTGGGATTCGAACCAACAATCCTAGTGCTGCTAGGTGAAAGTGCTAACCGCTTAGCCACTGTGCTGCACGATATACACTATATTGCCAAAAGTATTAGGACACCCCTCCAAAACCTTGCTTCAGGTGTTCCAATCACCTCCATGGCCACAAGTGTATAAAATCAAGCACCTAGGCATGCAGACTGCTTCTACAAACATTTGTGAAAGAATGGGTCGCTCTCAGGAGCTCAGTGTATTCAAGCGTGGTACCGTGATAGGTTGCCATCTGTGCAATAAGTCCATCCATGAAATTTTCTTGCTACTAAATATTTCACTATCAACTGTTAGTGGTAATTATAACAAAGTGGAAGAAACTGAGAACAACAGCAACTCAGCCACAAAGTGGTAGGCCACATAAAATGACAGAGCGGGGTCAGCGTATGCTGAAGCACACAGTGCACAGAAGTCGCCAACTGTCTGCAGAGTCAATAGCTAAAGACCTCCAAACTTCATGTGGCCTTCAGATTAACACAACAACAGTGCGTAGAAAGCTTCATGGAATGAGTTTTCATGGCCAAGCAGCTGCATCCAAGCCTTACATCACCAAGTGCAATGCAAAGCATCGGATGCAGTGGTGTAAAGCACGCCGCCACTGGACTCTAGACCAGTGGAGACATGTTCTATGAAGTGACGAATCACGCTTCTCTGTCTGACAATCCAATAGATGTGTCTGGGTTTGGCGGGTTGCCAGGAGAACAGTACTTGCCTGACTGTATTGTGCCAAGTGTAAAGTTTGGTGGAGGGGGGATTATGATGTGGGGTTGTTTTTTAGGGGTTGGGCTTGGCCCCTTAGTTCCAGTGAAGAGAACTCTTAAGGCGTTAGCATATCAAGACATTTTGGACAATTTCATGCTCCCAAAATTGTGGGGAACAGTTTGGGGATGGCCCCTTCCTGTTCCAACATGACTGCACACCAGTGTACAAAGCAAGGTCCATAAAGACATGAGTGAGTTTGGGGTGGAGGAACTTGACTGGCCTGCACAGAGTCCTGACCTCAACCCCATAGAACACCTTTGGGATAAATTAGAACGAAGACTGTGAGCCAGGCCTCCTCCCCCCGACATCAGTGCCTGACCTCACAAATACGTTTCTGGAAGAATGGTCAAACCTTCCCATAGACACACTCCTAATCCTTGTGGACGGCCTTCCCAGAAGAGTTGAAGCTGTTATAGCTGCAAAGGGCGGGGCCAACTCAATATTGAACATGACAGACTAAGACTGGGATGCCATTAAACTTCATGTGTGTGTAAAGGCAGGCACCCCAATACTTTTGGCAATATAGTGTATGACAGATATTCAACAATATCTGTCATAACAATTAAACCATGGCAACATCTAATGTTTGTGTAGTATTATGTTCAGCAGACTGTGTTCTTCTATTGTTGTGACATAGATGACGTTCAGAGCACATTTTATGCCCAATTCATGCAAAACTCCATGTAATCCCAAGGGGTTCACATACTTTTTCTTGCAACTGTATAATAATGATGCAGCGCTAATATACAATTTCAACAAACATGTATGATAATATATAATATAATAGACAGATCAGATCCTGATGAAGTCACGAGGTCACGTGATGCAACGCGTCGACGGCACTAACGTGTGACGCACTTCCGGCGTGGCGCCATCTTTGTATACCCAACAAGCGCTTTTTCTTCATGCAGTACACCTGGCATATTGTATTCCACCTGGTTACAAGCTGTATACTGTTCTCATTGGATTCTACCTTGATATGTACTGGACTCTCCTCCATGCAAGCTATACACGTGAGTGCACCTTTGGCTTATTTATATGCCATTAAACAGTATTACACTTTGGAGATTTTGTTCTCTTTCTGTTATATGGGCATATGATTTATGGTACCTAGGAGAGTGCTAAGCTGCCTGCAACCCGGTCCAGTGGAATGGTGAATAATTATTACCTGTTGGCATCATCCTTATGATAGAGTGGCTACTCTGAGCATCTAGAGGAGTTTCTTTGCTTTGTGGCCCTGCAGGGTCATGAAGTGGAGGTAAGAGGCCATTCTAGCCATTCCGTTGGGGATCACACTGAGGGTGTTTTTTGACATCCACATCATGCATGAACAGGAAGATCACTGCACTAATTTATGGACTTTTAAGTCACTTTATGTGTGATGTGTGTCTCACATAGTGTGCTGTTCTGATCCCTAGTAGGGATTCACATCATTTTTTTTTGCTATTATTGTGTCCTATCAGGGACTTGGGGGTTCAAGTTTAATATATCCACATTTGGATTGGGGCACTCTTGCTGTGTGATCACTTTTATGTCTAATTTCTAGACTATATTATTTTTTTTACATTTTTTTATATCTGATCTGTCTATTATATATTATCATACATGTTTGTTGAAATTTAAATTGTATATTAGAGCGCTGCATCATTATTATATATATATACATAATATTGAGAATTAGTTCTTCACAGTAGAAACATCTAGATAGGTGAGTGAGGGCTTCTTTTAAAGTGTTAC